TATAGTCATAATTCCCACCAGGAATTTAACCATGACAGATGACATGAAAAATCATTGTATTTCAACTGTGGCAATATTAGTGACCAACATTTAAAAACTTACCTCCTAATTAAAACTGTCAACCATTTATTCATTGACTGGCCTGTGGCTGTAGTCAGGAGTTTGCAAGGGCAACAATACAATACAGGACACATAACTTAGAAGATTATTTATGATAGTCACCCAAAGAGTCATATACAAGGAGTGTGCAGGAAATCTGTCCACACACTAAAGACCAAAGAATCCAGCTGAGGGCCTGGATCCCGCAATCATGTCCTGCACGAGTCCAGCTGAAGCCCTAGACCCATAACGGTGCCTCCCACAGATCCAACTGGAGGCCTAGAGCCTGTGACAACATCTCATGCAGGACCGTTTCACGGATCTGCGCTGGGAAGGCCCATGGTCAGTGGTGGAAGCTTGAAAGTCTGCGCCAGCGGGATGAAGGACCTGTGCCAGCAGGCTGAGGGATCTGCACCAGAGCCAGGAAGGAATGCTCAACGTAAGAACCAGAGCTGCCCTTGAAAGTACCACAGCCATCCTCAGCAACAGTGAGGTCCCGAGCTCCTCTGATGGTGATAACAGCCGAGTTCCCGTCAGGAAAGCCAGCGTGACAAGCTGCTCCAGGAGAACCAACAGCTCCCGACACTACCTGCAGCTCCCCTTCTTCCTCTCCAGTTGTGCTGCTGGCAGCAATCCTCAGGTGTACCGCCCCCTCCCAGCATTGCCCTGGTTCAGTTCAGCTGGGTGGTACAAGTTGGCCACCAGTTATCAGTCCACCACACCTGCCCTATCAAATGTCTCAGCGTGATCAGAATCTCGGGCTCCCTGTTAGAGTTCTGCCTAGCCTTACAAGTTGTCAGTGGACTCTGCCTGGCATACGCTGCCTCTTTCTTATCTGCTGTAGACATTTGCCTAGATGGGAACTGTGGCTGAGGCATCTGTTGTTCCCATGCAAACAGAACGTCAATATTTTTGTAAAGCTTTTTTTTTTATTTTTAATTTTTAATTTTTTTTTTTTTGTCTTTTTGAGACAGGGTCTCGCTATGCAGTGCAGGCTGGCCTTGAGCTCACTTTGTAGGCCAGGCTGGTCTCGAACTCACAGTGATCCTCCTGCCTCAGCCTCCTGAGTGCTGGGATTATAGGAGTATGCCACCACGCATGGCAACCTCAATATTTTTATGTTTATTTCTGCATGTTGGATGCGGCCTTTATTATGAATCCTACACTTTTCTGGAAACCTGAATTATTGAAGTTGAACTGCCGTTTTCAGTTATAGCTACAGCATTTATAGGTTACGTCCTACCAGGAGGACAAATGCCATTTGGAGGAGCTTCGGTTATAACTAATCTACCATCGGCCGTCCCCTACGCTGGACCTAACCTGGCAGAATGAATCTGAGGCAGATTTTCAGCTGATAAAGCAACTGTAACGTTTTGCATTCCACTTGATCCTCCCATTCAGCATTGTAGCCCTTGTAATAATTCACCTATTCTTTCTCCATGAAACGCCATCAAATAACGCATCCGGTGTAAATAAACTCAGACTGACAAAATTCCATTCCACCCCTAGCACCCAGTGAAAGACATCCTAGGCTTTCTGTTCATAACTCTAGCGGTACCTTACACTAGTCCTATTTTCCCCTGACCCGCTGGCTGATCCAGACAACTAATTATACACCCACAAACCCCCGAACACTCCCCGCATTAACCCAGAGTGGTACTTGTATTTGCACACACAGTGCTACGATCACTCTCCGTAAACTCGGGGCCACGTTAGCCCTGGCACCTCAGTGCTTATTCTAGCGATTACTGCTTTGTCTGCTCATTGAAACAGTGAAGTATGAGAATCCACCCTCTAAGCAGTGCCTGTTTTGAATCTCAGTCGCAAATACTATACTTACACGAGTCAGAGCTCAACTAGTCGAACACCCCTTGGACAAGTAACATCTAATGTTTCTTCATTATTTTAATTCTTACACCATTAGCAAGTTTGCTAAAAGTACCTCAAAGGAAGAGTCGTCACTGTAGGGGCCGATTTCTCCAGTCTTGTAAGGGAGAAATGGAGAGCCACTGTCCTGAGGGAAGTCAAGGGACCAGCCCAGATCACCCATCATTGCCCGGCGCTGCAGTTCTGCTCAACTCGCTCCTGACCCTCCCGCTTCCGGTGTTAAGTGTTGCATAAGTGAGAAGATACTGATCCCCCTGTTAGCAGCTTCTCACGCTCTGTGCATATCATGCATTCTGCTGCTTCCCCACCATCACGTACTAAATATTCAATGTTTTATCATCCATGCATCATGTGTAACCGACATGAAGACACTGACCCTGTGGCTATGAGCATGTACCTAAGACTGTTCCATAGGATGCAGCCCATTTAATTTTCTAGTTCCCATCTCAGTTACTGACCACATGCATACTGCTAAGTACATTTCTTTCATCGTTAATATTGCATAGGACATAACACCACTGACTGTATATAGCAGTCCTCGCCCACAGGCGTATCACCTCCAGTTTTGGTCCCTTCACCTTCCGTCTTCGTGAAACCAGCAACCTGCCAGGCCGTGTCCCTCCTCTCGCTCCCAGTGAGGCCATGTGGAGGTTTCTGTCCTGAAATTTTACTTGGCATGTAGAATCTGGGTCTTACATCAGGGCCACTCAACCTGAGATGGTCCCCATGTTCCCCTCAAATGAGACACCCCCATGGACCAGTGACCGATGGATCCCCTGTCCCATGTAACTCTGGGATTGTGCATTGGGTATTTTTTAATTTGGGGGAATGCTGTGTCTCAGCATAGCTGTCAAGGTACGGTGGCAGTTAACTTGGAGCCCGACTTCTATGGAATATTGCATGAAAACCCTAAGGTACTAATTCATGCTTGTTAAATGTACCAATGTATGACATACTTAGGCACATGTATGCACACATGTGGGCACACATTCCATACAGTATGCATAGGTACACCTACCCCTATACGTGTGTACATATGTATATTTACACCTATACGTTATTTCCAGAAACCCCCACCTCCATTTTCGAATTGTACGTGAACCTGATACCCAGTTTACTTAATATAAGCAAATCATGCATAATAATATGTATTGATTTACTGTTGCCAAACCTCCAAAACAAGAGGCACACACAGCACAACTGAGGGTCAGGTGTAAAACCCAACCCAATTAAATCTTTAATTCATCCCAGCACTTGGGAGGCTGAGGCAGGAAGACTGTTGCAAGTTTGAGACGAACCTGGGCTACAAAGTGAGCTCAAGGCCAGCCTGAACCACATAGTGAGACCCTGTCTCGAAAAGACCAAAGAAAAAAACTTTAACTAAAACCAAATATTCACCTAGCCCACTTTAATTTTAGAGGTATAGAATCTTAAAAAATTCCTAGGCTTGCTGAACTAGCAAGTTCTTCCCCTTATTTTCTACGATCCTAATTTTTCTCATAGCACCTGCGTAGTAATTACACATCAACTCATTTTAAAACTTCTCTGCATAATTAAAAATTTCATTTAAACCACATTCCATCCAATTCCCTATTAAGCTAACACTTAAGGATGCATGAGTTTTCTTTAGACCTCCCGAACTAACAAAACGTGTTCCTTTGTTTTATGAAATCGAGTTTCTTCTTGCTAATACTTACATTATACTTAGTTATAAACTAGTCCCATTTAAGAGTCCCTCTAACCTACTCCCCAATAATGAAAAGGTGAAGGATTTATAGGATCTGAAGAGAAACTAGAGTATAAGTATTTTATTTATTCTTTTGGTACCAGGAATCGAACTCAGGACCTTGCACTTGCCAGGCAGGCACTTGTGCCGCTGAGCTATATCCCCAGCCCTCCCCAATAATTAAAAACTTACATGTATACATAAGACTGTTAGTTGATGTAGGTTCCCGGGTAAAGTAAGGCCCTGGAGTGCAGATCTGAGGTTTTCCTCTCCACAGACATAGAGGGCCTGCGCCCTTTTGTCAGTCACTGGTGCAGTTCCATGCGTGAGCCCCTGCGGCCCCGTGGGCGAGCCCTCTGGATCCCACTGACCCAAGGAGCAGGCGCCTGGCACCGCGCCCTGGAATGCCTTCCATTTCACCACCTGGCACAGCCAAACCCTTCCGCTTCCTCAGCGAGTGTTCCGCTGTTGGCATTGCAGAGGCAGCAGAAACTCCCAGAGTGAAGACAACACTCACCGGCCCCCGCCCGCTCTCCAGTTAGGCAGCTGAGGGCCGGGGCAGGGCGCTCACCTGAGGTCGGCTTCTCTTCTGCCCCGGCCAAGTAGATTTCCTTTCAGCCTAGCTTCTTCTAAACCAGCAGGAGAGAGTCGGACAGACAGACAGAGACAGATACGGGGTCGGGGTTGGGGTTGGGGCTGGGGTTGGGGCAGAAAGAGACTCACTTTTTGCTTCGGGTGTTTGAGTTTAGGGAAAACCCAAATTTGCTTTTATTTTTATTTTTTAGGGGGGAGTTGTGTTTTGTTTATTTGTTTTTTGAGACAGGGTCTTGCCATGTAGTGCAGGCTGGCCTTGAACTCATTCTGTAGCCCCGGTTGTCCTTGAACTCGCAGCAATCCTCCTGCCTCAGCCTCCCCAAGTGCTGGGAATATAGGTGTGTACCACCATGTCCAACCAAAACTTGCTTTTAAAGGAGTCATCTGATGAAGTGAGGCCAACCCACAACGCTCTTCCTTGTGATCAATGTACCTTTTTTCTTTCTTATTTTTTTAGGGGGGAGGTAAATGAGGATGGAGCTACATCACAAACCGTTTTTATTTTATTTTATTTTATTTATTTTCTTTTATTTTTGAGCTGTTTTTTTGGTTCTGAGGAAGGAGGCCAGGCCACCCAGCTGCGTTCGCAGTGCCCTCGAGGGCACCCTTAGGCAGAACTAGCCGGAAACACTAGCCTATAGCTGTGCTGCTGACATGCTTTTGTCATTGAAACGCGTATATTGTTTTTTTCTAGGCTTCTCAGACAAAGATCTCAAAGACATATTAGAAGTCGATGGCTACCGACCTGATAAGAATAAAGGTAGGAGTGTCCCTTTGTCCAGTTCTGTGCCTTCTCCTGGCTACAAAGGTGAACCGAGCCATTCTCTGAGCCGCTGGGAAAGCAGAGGATGTCCCCAGGCACCCCGGTGTGCAAGTCACGGGCCCGCTGGTGCAGAGCCACACGCTCCCAGCTGCTCTCGGGCCAGGGCGCTGCCTGGCTGGCGTTCCTTCTGCAGGAGTCCGCTTGGGACTGGAGCCTGTCTCTCATGCCGACAAGGGAGGAATGTGCACTGTGACAAAATTTGTTGAAGGTGGCTTTTAAAATACCTTTGTAATTTGAAATGCATGGTGTGACCAAAATGTAGGGTAAATGTTTCAATGTTAGTTATTGCAATCAAAGACACATCGCCATTGATCCCCCTCAAGATACCCCCACGCTCCCGCTGCCACTTTGAACACACTTAATCCCATCGTTCTTGCCACTGCCTGAAGCAGTTCTGGAAGTCCTCTTTCCTGAGATTCTGTACAAGATGTGATCAGGAGTACAGCAAAAGCTGCTGCCCAGTACCATTCCGCAGAAGGGCAGGCTCATTAAAACGTGACGTTGTGTCCTCATCTACCTTATCCACCGGATCTGGCGCCCTGTGACTTTTGGCTCTTCTGCACTGTCAAAATGACATGAAAAGCAAACATTTTGAATCCTTTCAGGATATGGAGGTAGCCAGGACAGAAGAACTAAAGACCCTCAGGAAAGAGTGCACCAGAGCTGCTGCAGAAAGTACCAAGAAGCTGGGTGTGGTGGCGCACGCCTGTAATCCCAGCACTCAGGAGGCTGAGGCAGGAGGATCTTTACAAGTTTCAGACCAGCCTGGGCTACAAAGTGAGCTCAAGGCCAGCCTGAACTACATAGTGAGACCTTGTCTCAAAAAGATACCCCCCCCAAAAAAAGTACCAAGAATGATGGGATGTGTTCAGAATGAAGGGGGAAGGTTGTGAGGGGATTCATGGCAACATGTCTTTTGCTGTGATGCATTTTTATTTATTTATTTATTTATTGGGTTTTTTTTTTCCTGGTACCGGGAATCAAACTCACGACCTTGCACTTGCCAGGCAGGTGCTGTGCCGCTGAGCTAAATCCCCAGCCCCCTGTGATGCATTTTTAAAAACAATTAAGCATTGACCATATTTTTTTAATCAAATTTCATAGTGTAGGATTCAAAAGAGGCTGTAAAGAGAGTTCCCGTGGACCTTCAGCCCAGCTGCCCTGAAGGTTGCGTTTTACGTAACCGCAGCGCACTGTCCACTGGGAAGCAGACAGCGTAGTACTGCAGACCTCCCGAAGAGTTTGTCGGGCTTGGCATGCACCTGTGTGTTTGTGTGTGCATGAAAATCAAGGAAATGCCATGAATAGCTGTCAACACAGTCATGGGGAAGAATGGTTCCATCCCCACCGGGAGTGTCCCTCATGTCGCCCCTGAGTACTCACATCCTCCCTAAGGCACACATTTCGTTTTTGGTTTTTTTGAGACAGCGTTTCACTTCTTAGTTCAGGCTGGTTTTAAACTCACAATGATCTTCCTGCCTCAGCCTCCCGACTGCTGGGATTACAGGTGTGCGCTTCCCGGTTTCCAAGGCACATGCTTTGGTTCCCCCCCAAACTACCAGGGATGCAAACCTTCTCACTGTAGCATACATTTGGCCCTAAGGATGGTGGGGATTATCAGCAGACACGTTAACGTGGCGAAACAACTTAGTGCGGTGACTTGTGCCCGGACTGGTACCTGCTGTGATGACGCGTGACGGCGTGGGCTGCGGTTGTGACTCTCGGGCTCTGACCTTGCCATGACAAGCACCCTGAAACCCCGCAGGCCTGGCTGTGATAGTAGCGGCTGCTCCTCTCGCGTGAACTGCGTGCCTTCCGTCAGGACCTGTGTTCCCTTCCCATGAGAGCGGTCCAGCATGGCGTCGCATCGGTCCTGTGAAGCACCTGCCTGCGTGGTGCTGTCTCTAGGAAAAGCCCTGCAAGCCTTGTAACGAGGCTCACAGTGTCAGGAGAACATGGGCGTTTAAAGGGCAAAACCAGCAAATTAGCCACTTATTCCCGGGTGACAAATGGCCTTTCCAGATGGAGCTGAGGCCAGGGTGAAGGTCTGAAGGACACGTTGGGCTTTTCTTCGTGACAGGACTTGTTTCATCAAAGCAGAAGTGCTAGGAATGTCCTTAATTAGGCTCACGCTAGAACTTCTCATGTCAGAATAATCAGTTGTTAGCGTCAGGTACACCCTGTCATGGTGGACGTCAGTGACAGAAGATCCCCGCGTCCTGGCAGAAAGGACAAGCGAGAGGCTGAGACGGGCTTGCGATTCCCACGGGGCAGGGCCCTGCGATGCGCTCCCTTAACAGAACGCGAGGGAAGGCGTCGCATTCGAACACATCCCACGTGTCTGCAGAAAAGGAGCCCTGACGAAGGCATCCCCTGCCTTGCGGCGCCTGGCGCCCATCCCTGCACGGGGACTCCGGCCCATGTGTCCAGGCCAGCGTGTCCCTCTCTGCGGGCGGGAAGGGGAGGCATTGGAAGCCCAAATCGGAGGGTATTCACGCCTCCTCTGCGCTCCCATTTCTAGAGCGTCTCGGCAGGCAGGGGTCGGCGGTGCCAGGTGAGCGCAGCAGCTGCACAGAGAGTCACACGCTGTCGCCGGCTCCGCCACCAGCTCGGGCTGCAGCACAGTACCTCTGTCTCAGAGGCTCACCTGACCTGTCACAGCTGCAGAGCTGCAAGTCCTCGAGCAGGGTGCCATCTCGTAGGTGCCTAGCGAGGCCGTCTTCCTGCGGCCCTGCAGCAGCCCTCCCCGCGTGCCCTCATGTGGCGAGCGGGGACAGGCAGCAAGATCCCCGTGTCGCCCCTTGTGAGGGCCCCATCTCGGACTCCCCTCCCAGGAGCACCGTTTGTTCGGTGCGCACTGAGGGTTCTCCGGGCGGCAGTGTCCCGATAGTTAACCTGTCCTGCTTTGAAAAGTGGTACCAGCCGGAGCGCTGCGTCCCTCCGGCTTCTCTAGTCTCCACCTTACTCTCCAGGCCAAGTCCTGTTTCCCAGTTAGCCGCCCCAGCTCATCCCCTCTCGCGCGCTCAGTACGACACGCCACACATTTGCAGTGCGTCCAACCCGTTTGTCACCATGCATTCCCTCTGGGGTGTCCCCACCCAGCTGCCCTTGTCTTCGTTCGCTCCCTTGCTCACAGATAGTAAGGCTGACTGCGGCATACCACGCTGCGGGTTTGGACAAAGGCTCAAAGGCTCACGTCTCCTAAAGGCACAGTGCGCCCTCTGCCGCGCCTCCCTGCCGGAGCCAGTCCGCCTTCTGTGCGCAGTCGCTGAGGTGCCTCCTGTCTCTGTGCTTCCGCGCTCCCGGTGCGAGGTACTGGAACCTGAGATGAGCTTTACAGTGTTCACTTTATTTTGTCACTGACTAGTGTCCCCTGTACAGCGCTTCCACGTGTGCCCATGGGCTGGCCGAAGCTGTGTGGGTGAACACGATTAAAGCTTCTGGAAGCATTTATAAACATTGCCACACAGGTTTTTGTTCAGATTTTTTTTTTTTTGTCTTTTTGAGACAGGGTCTCACTATGCAGTTCAGGCTGGCCTTGAGCTCACTTTGTAGCCCAGGCTGGTCTTGAACTCA